TAACATGGACGCCCAGCTCCTGACGAACCTCGACGCGTGCGACTTCCGCACTAACCCGAACGTTTTGACCCAGCTGCGTGAGAAAATGTTCATTCTCTGGGGAGACCTCGAAGAAAAGAAGATCAAGAAACTGGCCGAGCAGGGCAAGAAGCAAAAGGCCAACGTGGGAAAGAAGAAGAAGACCAACGACCGACCCCCTGATTCCGAGGACGAGGACGCGGGCGCGGGCGCGGCTCCCAAGATGGAAAAGGAGGTCATCTCGAACCGACCCTTCACTTGTTGTATACGCCAGTATGGCATCCAAGTCAAGGAGTCAGATACCGAGAAGGCCGATGCAGGGCCAGGGAAGAAATGGCAGCGAATGTATGGACTCTTCGGAACCAAAATATGCGGTTAAAAGCTAGTTGGTCAGGCACAGGATTTTGCAGGAGTTTGAGGCATGGGATTACGAAGATTGATGACCAGGTTGCAGAGCAGCGGCCGTCACAGGCGTACGAACTTGTAACAGAATGATTTATCCCTAATGAAATCGTGTCGTATTAGCTACTACAAGAGCTAACCAGTTGTCTTTTATCCCCGTTCTAACGCCTCGAGTCAAATGAGCCATCCCATCCTAGACAGGCGCTCCCGTTCGCCGTCCCACCACACCCAGCATTACCCTACTTGCAAGAGCGATTCACAAAGGCATCATCAAGCCTTCCTCGCCTCTGGTCATCCCGTAATTGAAGACCAAGCCAGACATAGATAAGCGCACGGGAGAAAAAGCGGAGGGTAGGGGGGCGCTCGCAGCCAGTATCCTTGTATAAACAGAGCAAAAGAACGTCAAAGATGTAAGCCGTGGTTTGATCCTCCCGCAGTCAGAAAAAAGTTGATTTAGTCGCCCAGTACATCGTCGTCGTCATTAGTAGCAGGAGGCTCCTCCACGTCAGGTTCCTCTTCCTCCTCCTCCTCGAGCAGCTCCCGCCGTCGTAGATCCTCTTTTGAGCCCTCTTCCGGCTCAGGCTCCTCCACCGCTTCTTCTTCCTCTTCCTCATCATCATCATCGTCGATAACAATCTCTTCGCTGATGGCGGGCTTTGCAGCAGCGGACCTTGTCGATGCCGCCTTGGACTTTTGCAACTTCTTGCCATAGAGGTGATCCCGGACCTTCTTGGGGTCAAGGTACGCCACCACCTCACTGAAGTTCTTGCCGAGCCTGCTCTGGTTTCGTAGAAGTCGCTTGTGCAGCTTGCCCGCGTGGGGACCTGATTGATCAAGGACCTTCTGGGCGATGGCGAGGACGTACTTGGCCGCCAATTCGCATAGGGCCTTTTCAGATTTGAGCTCTTGAGCCAGCTTCTCTTCTTGCGTCAGGCCTTCATCTTCATCCTCCTCTTCGTCAGAGTCGTCGTCGTCCATTGGTTCTTCGTCTTCCGCTGGCTCATTGAGGATCTTCTTCGTCCGCTTCGCAAAGGTCTTCTCCACGCCGTCGTAGATTGAGATGAGCTCTGGCAGAAGCTTGGGCTCAAGCTCGTGTGCCAACCTTGCCAGTTTCTTATAGTTTGCATTTCCGCGAGACTCTTCAGTCCAGTTCCTCAACGAGCCGAAGAGCACGTGGATATCGCAGAGAGCACCGGTTGCAAACATGCGGATATCGTCGATGATAGCTCGGGACGACAGTGTTTTGATCAGTCCGACGTCGTACCTCTTACGCAAGACAGAAACCTGATCAACCACAGAGTCGGGTATTTCGGTTTCGCTTTGAATGAACTTCTGAAAGCTCCGCACCTTCCACATGAAGTAGAACTGGATCCCCTTGATGGCAAAGGAGACGACCTCATCCTCCAAGTCGTCGATGTCTTCGGTCTGTTGATCGAACGTGCCTCGGCCAACAATGTTCACCAGAAGCTCGATCGTGGATGACATTGAGTCGGCCGCGCGTCCTTCCGTTTCCAAGACTTCCATGCAGTCGGATATGCGAGCAAGCTCGCCGATCTTCATCAGCACTGTGGAAAGCGCCTTCAGATGGTCCTCTGCTAGATTGCCTCGCATAGACAGCTCGCAGGTCTTGTCGAAGCTGCGTAGGGTGTTGATGACGTTCTCCCACAGGACCGCAAGTTTCCCGTCGGTCAGCTCCTCAAGCTCATCATACTGACGAGAGTGGAGGAGAGCTGCGGCGGCCTCGGCAACAACCCTCTTATCATCGTGTCTGTTGAATTGAGTGCTGATCTCATCCAGTAGTTTTTCATACTTGGTCGAGTCTTGCCGTAAAGTTTGGAAAACCTCGAGGTCGAGGAAGTGCTCCATCCTGAGAACGATGGTGGCGGTGGCAGGGTCGGCGCCAAATTTGTTGAGAAGTTGAGGAATGACTGTTGCTAATTCCAAAGCGGTCTCCTCCTGCGCCTCAGTTACCTCTGGACGTCCACTCTTTTTTTTGTTCTTCTCAATCTCTAGAGATTGCAGCATCGACATCTTGACTGCGGATGCTAGAACCTCGAGCAAGATAGCTTCCTCGGTGCCCTGCGGCCCAACAGCCTTCTTGAAAGCAGTCTCGGTTGAAGCACCGTGTGACTTGGATTTCGACTTGGAACTGACTGTGTGGTCGTAAAGTAGGTAGCCTGCCAGCAGTTCCCATTGCTTCACATACGGCACCTTTTCGAAAAGGACCTGGGAAGCAAGAGAAATGCGCGTGTCTGGAACATTCGCCTGGGTGACATCTGCGGCGGTAGCAAGACCTGTGCCATTGTCCTGCTGCTCGCCCTCGACTTGGGCATCGAATGCCGCGAGGTTCTCTGCTAGGCATTTGATGTTGACCCATGTGCTGCGAGGCGAGTCATAATCGTCATCGTCGATTTCGCCAAACGTCTCCTCAAGCGCATCCTGCCCACCGAGCTCTTCCATCTTGCCTTCGATAGAATCTTCGACACAAGAGATGAAAAAGTTGACAACCGCTTTTCTGATTCTTATGTCACTATCAAAGATGAGTTTGCCGATTGAGTCAACTTCGTCTGGTTCGAGCATTCCAGTATCCCGTAGTACGTTTATGACAGAGATGGCAGCAACACGGACAGAGACTTCAGCGTCCTTGGTGGAGATCTCGATGAGACGAGGCCGAAACCGATCAATGAAGTGGCCCAGCTGTTGCACGTCACGTCTAAAGATGCGCGCCAATTGCCTGAGTACTTCTTGTCGGGTAGAAGCGACGGTGTCTGACAGCATCCAGCCGAGATAACGGAGGTACTCAGGCTGCATGAAAACCGTGGAAAGACCAATGATCCAAGATCCCAAGGACTCGACACACTCCGTCCTGATACGCGGGTCGATATCTCGGTATCTGTGAATGAAGGTGGTGTCGAAAAAGTCCTTGATGTGATTGCCGCACAGCTCTCTGTTATCATTGGCCTCGTCGAGAGTACGTTGCATTTCTGCCAGCTTCGCCTTATTTTTGCCCCTCTTGGCTTGCGCAACTTGTTGCTCGATCGCAGTGATTCGGGAGTCGAGTGTGTTTGCGACATCGATAAGGCCGTAGACTAGGGAGAGGATGACAGTTGTCGCAGTATGACGGAACGGACGAAGTGAAGACGTCGACATAGATGCTATCCAACGGACGAGGTTCTCCATCAAGGTGGCGTCGTTGTACAGGACATCTGTTTCGTGGACACTGCGAACAACGCCCCGGAAAAATCCAGTGAGGAGGTCACGGAAAGCCTTGGTGTTCTTCGCCCTGGAAATGAGAGGGTACTCAGTTACTTGCTCCTGTGCTTAGTTAGCTCGTTGATCTGCAGAACACGGTTATCTTGTGTATTTGTACGAGCACATGCCTCTTGGAATAGATCTTGAAGCTCGGTTAGTCGAGCCTGACAATTATCAGGGTCGCGAATATCGTCTTCAGTGACCTCGAGATCGCAGCCGGAACACTGGAGTACAAGGTTGACAAGCTCCACGACAGCAAGGGCATCATTGGCTTGGTATCTGGTCTGCCACTTATCCGCAACCTCGTCCGAGGGCAGTCCCGAACCGAAAACGTCGGCTACAGACGTGTCAGATGATAGATTCGGCGAATAGGTTCCGGGGTAGCGACTTACCATACAGGCCCTCGGCTTGCCTGTCGGCGGTGGCAATTCTGACGGATTTCTTAGGCCGTGATGGCAGGCTTGCGGAATGGCCGGACGGGGCTACGCCGTTGGTCTTTGGTTTCTTGATTGCGGGCTTCTTTACGCGACTCCCTTGCGATGCGCCTGATCGCTTCTTGGGTCTGGCGCGGGGCCGTTCTTCGTCACTATCGGCAGCATCGCTCATGGTAGCATCGGACAGAATGTCATCGTCGTCGTTTCCTTCATCGTCATCATCGTGTCTTTTGCGCTTGGGTGCGGTGACTGGCTCCGGGCTAAACTTTTCGGGGGCTCGCACGACGCGTCCAGATCGACGACGCGACGACTCGGGTTCGGGGGAAGCTGTCGCGCTCTCCATGATGTCGCGTAAAGGCAGTATTGGGTATCGTCTGAATGGCTACAGGTAATCGCAGCAATGGCGATAATTATTTCGCGCCGATGAGCGAAGGTTCGGAGGGTTAGCGCATATGAGGAAAATTGTCGCGTTGAGTAAGTGCGTTTACGTCGAAGATGTTTAGGTGACGGGCTCTCCAAAATCGCGAGTGGCAGACGGACACGGACGGGTTGGGGTGTGGTGGATCGAAGCGCTGGTCCCTGCCTTGGTGCTGTGCGTTGGGTGGTGCAGCTGATTGGCGAATGAGCAATGGCCGCCTGACGCGGAAGGAGCGACGAGACCACACACACACCTAAACTGGAAGTCACCTCAGGTATGAGGTAATATGGCCGGATACCTCCTACTTTCTTATGGTACTCCGTAATCTAGTTACCTATACGGAGTAAGGCACCGAGTACCTCTGGCGCGCTCACCCATCAGAGAATACATATACTTTGATAGAACATAACAAGATCACCGCTGGCTCATCTAGATTCCTTTTTAAGCTTTACATGATGCAAAGACATTGTAATATACGGGTAGGTTAATTGGAGGTCACTCGAGTAAGAAGACGACAGGCCACACTTTTTGAGGCGTCAATGCCAGACCGTTCTAGGTCCATGTTCCGTGGCGTGAGAGGTCAGGTTTGACATCAGAGTACCTCATAGGTACTCTGAGTATACATTCACCCTTCTAGGTTCTCGCATCAAGTAGTTTCATAGGGAATGCAAGTCGATAAAACCACTATTGTTAGTTACTAGAAGCGTCACTTATATGAATTGTAGTTCAAAGAATGTTGCATCCTGATGGCTGCTCGAGCAATCAAAGGACGGGGGTTAGAAGCGTGAGCTTGCGGGGCGCCGGCGGCAGCACAGTGCATGTTAAATATCTCGCGGCCACACTGGGTATCTACCTTGGACATCAATCAGACCCTCCCGTCGCGCAAACATGGTCAACTCGAGTTGACTTTAGGCAATGTCAAATTGTATCAAAAACAAGATATCGCAGTCTTTTCATAATCGACTCGCATTTTAACCAGAGTTTCGGTACGTGGCCTCAGAAGTTGATCGTTTCGTAATATTCCAATCTAATTCTCGCAGCAGACGAAGAGCAACGTAGACGATTGAGCATGGCTTATCAAATTTACCCCTGATACATCTCAACTCAACTCAACTGCAACCCATGCCAGCGAAACAACGATGGAGTCTCCGTTTCCCAAGTCGTCTTCGGTAGCCGGAGAGGGCGAGATCGTAGCCCAGCTCTTGCCCAACGGCCTGTCAGGTCTCAAGGGCATGTCATACCAGTACCCCCTGAAACTCATCTCGCCGACACCAGCAGCCGACCAGAAAAGCGTTCTAGTGTTTCTGTTATCCTACGGTGGCGGACTTGTTGGGGGCGACAGCGTCAATCTCTCTATCCGCACTCTGCCGGGATCAAAACTCAGTGTTGTCACACAGGGTCATACAAAGATTTTCAAGTCTGCGTCTCCCGACATCGTTACACGCCAAACGCTCAGTGTTCATATAGAAGACGGTTCCGGCATCTGCCAGTTGCCAGATCCAGTCCAGCCATTTGATGGAAGCGTTTACGAGCAGACTCAGATATTCACAGTGGCTCCCAACGCGTCCCTGTGTCTACTAGACTGGGTGACCCAAGGCAGAACGGCGCGCGGTGAGGACTGGAGCTTTGTCAAATGGACAGGACGGAATGAAATATGGCTGGAAAAAGAAACGCCCGGCCAAAAGAACCGTTTGCTGGTGCGAGACACAGTCATCTTGGACAGAGACAGCCAAGGCCTAGTAGGGAGATCGCTACGAGACTCCATGCATGGAAACGGCCTCTTTGGAACTTTGATCTTGAGAGGGCCCCAGATGCAGACTTTAGGCAACTTCTTCCTCGAGGAGTTTGGTGCTTTACCACGTATTGGCGCAAGGGACTTCAGATCAGCTGAGGCGAAAGCGAAGGAAGAAAGCGACTTGACTGAGCATGAACTATGGAGGCTGAAGCGTATAGAGATGGAGAAGAAGGATGACATTTTGTGGTCGGCAGCGAGGGTCAGGGGATGTGTTATTGTGAAGTTTGGAGCAAGTACGGTTGAAGCTGGTCGGCTATGGATTGGTATCATGCTGAGTCGAGAAGGCACAGTTGCCAGAGTATATGGGGAGCCATCACTAATGTGTGTAAAATGAAGTCTTGGAATTGAGTAAATGAGGTGTGCCTACTTCTCGATCATTGAGAAGAAATGCCGGGATTAGTACAAATAAGTAAGACGTCTCTTCTGAGTTTGGTTGGTCATTTGAGACTCAATCCTGCTTTTGAGTCAAATCTAACTGATATGCTTCACAGAGATTTAGATAGGTATTGCGTACCTTCTGCTCAAGGCCAGTGAGCAGTGCGCACTAAAGTTGCGTCGCATTGAATCTGTGCTTGAGTGCGGGGTGAAATCAACCCCACCACCTGGGTGTGCAATATAATAGCGAGCGGGACAAGGACAAGGACGGTGCTACAAGGGGCAGCAGGTCCCGTCGACGTTTTGTCCCCCACCACGCTGAGGTAATCGAACATCTTTTTCTCTGAGCGGCATCTGTGACTCTCCCGCCAGACACCACCAGGCAACATTCTTTACTCTGCCATTGTCGCATACCCAACACGAAAATCTGGCAACTCCAAGTGCTCAACCGCAGAAACGACAAAGCAGATTATTTTGACTTCATTGATCACATCCCAGGACCGTCAGTCACCATGCCAGAGGGAGCGCCCCCGGCTCGAGGCGCCGGTAGGGGTCGAGGCCGAGGCAGAGGAAGAGGAAGAGGAGCTGCCAGCAGCGCCATACCAAGCGCCGAGGGACCGGCTTCGACTTCGAGACCAGCTTCAGCACTGGGAACAGCTTCGGCGACAGCTGCGCCTTCCAGAACCGCAACACCCAACCCGCCCGCGGCGCGGGGCACTTCAGCCAGCAGATTTCGCCCTAGAGTGGTGCGTAGAGACGAGGCGGCGCGAGATGCAATCGCTAGACAAGAGCTGGAGAAGGACAATACGAGGGCAAAGGCAGAAGCTCGCGCACAAGCCCGCTCTCGGGGTCGTAGTCGGCGAGCTCGTGGTGATGCCATGGGCAGGGGTGGTTTCATGTCGCGAGCTGCGGTTGCTAGTGGCCCGTTCTCGCAAATGACTACAGAGGGTAGGTCGATGAAGGGATTCACTCAATCGGTCTTCTAGAACTGACAATTATCTAGGAGGCGGCAGATCCGGCGGGGGATGGGGCGGCGGCGGTGGAGGAGGAGGAGGAGGCGGAGGGTTCTTCGGCGGCGGTGGTGGCGGCGGCCGAAAGAGAGAAGGTGGCGCCTTTGGAGAGGCTTCGGGCCATCGCGAAGCACGAATCAATGCCGATAGACTCGCCGGATATCCTGTCGATCGCGAGCCCGACTCTGACGACGAAGAGACGGCTGCCCTCATTGGCGCAAAGCCTGGTAATATCTGGCCCATGGGTATCGCCCGTATCGACAAGAAAGAAGAGAAGAAGACGATTGCAACCTCGGCCGAACTTGAGGCAGAAGAACAGGGCAAGGCTGAAGAGAGCCTCTTCGTTGAAGGAGAAGGAGAAGGTTGGTCCGGCGCTATTCCCCCGATGGAAGACGAGACCAAAGTCTGGCATGCGGCACCCAAGGGTGTGGTTCAGGTCAAGGCAGAACCTGGCGGCGAACCAGGTGCCATGGACATTGCGCCGGTCGACTTCAACGCGCACGTCAAGTCCGCAACCCCCGAGGTCGAGGAGGATAAGGTCACCCCTGAACCGAAGACGAAGAAGACAATGGCCGACCCCGAGGTGGAGATGATCACACACGACATGGAGCTGCTGCTGGGCGAATTGGGCACCGTCACGGACGAGAATTCAAAGGCACCCGAGACAGAGGTTGCAAGCAAGGACGGACGACTGTACCTCTTCCAGTTCCCGCCGTTGCTGCCACCATTGCAACCTGCGATTGCCCCCAAGGTCAAGCCAGAGCCCGACGATGTTGTCATGCTCGACCGGCCGGGCGAAGCTGTCGACCTCACACAGACGGAAGAGAGCGCTCAACCCAAGGTCGAGGAAGCTGATATCGACCTTACGGATATCAACCAGTTGGTCTCCCAGGCCGGAATGATGGGAAAGCTCAAGGTCCGCAAATCTGGAAAGGTCGAGCTGGACTGGGGCGGAAGAACACTCGAACTCAGCCCAGCTGCGGGTATGAACTTCTTGACTACGGCAGTGATTGTGGAGGAGTCGGACGAAAAGGCAAAGCAGGGCGTTCCCGGTGGAGACAGTATTGGCATGGGCAAGATCATGGGTCGATTTGTTCTCGCGCCGACTTGGGGTGATGAGGAAGAGTGGACGGTTGACCCAGAGGATCTTGTTGTTCCCGAAGCGTAGGGCTGACAGCAGCAGCACTTACAAGACTCGGGAAGAGAGGATAGGATTCGTCACTGTTTGCTGATTTGCCCCGCCAGCGATCCAGTGTTAACAGATCGGACGGGGGAAAACATTAGCCGCATGTGGCATTAGCCCCAAGTCTTGTTTGGGAGGTATTGAAAGGATAGAAAAAACAAAGAGATACCCTAGGCTAATCACATTACCTCAGTTCGGACTGCTCTTTCAAATGGGACGAACTCGAGGGGCGGCGCCGTCCCGTCGGTCTTCCCCACACTCCGCATGTGAGACCGTCCGTGAACACCAACCCCCAAGACGCGGTGGCGGCGCTTATTATGTCTGCGATATGTCATCGCGATTTTGGGATTGACCACTTCCTTGTGCCCAGCTTTATTTGAAGGCCTGGGTAACTGGCGATGGACATAAGATACTAATGCGACTTGGCTGGTTTGATCAGTAAAGCAGCAACCACCCATCGGCCCAACTCATAATCTCCCACTGTCCAGCATGGATAGGCACACTGAGAACAGCTCCAGCGATGGCATCCATGTGATAATCATCGGTGCCGGTCTCGCAGGTCTGGCAACGGCTCTCTCAACGAAACTCGCAAACCCCTCTCACCGCGTGACGATCCTCGAGGCAGTCAAGGAGCTCCAGGAAGTCGGTGTAAGTCCTCTCGTCCTTCTCTCACGCCAACGCTTCACGCATCCGCACTTCTCAGCGCAAAACTTCGTTGAACTCACAAGATATACATAGGCCGGTCTCCAACTCACACCAAACGCGACCCGCCTCCTCGAAGCCTGGGGTCTCTTCCCAGCCCTCGCCCCCTTGGCGACCGTCCCCTCAACCCTCTCCGTCCACCGCTACGACGGCACCCGCCTCCTCGCCCACGAACCGCACCTCCAGGAAACGATCCAATCCCGCTACGGCCATCCCTTTTGGGGCCTCCACCGCGTCGAACTCCAGCGCGCCCTGGTTGACCGCTGTACCGCCCTCGGCGTCGACATCCGCCTCGCCTCGCGCGTCCGCTCCGTAGATTTCGCCAGCGCGACCGTGACTCTCGACCCCGGATCCGACTCGTCTTCTTCGTCTTCTCTAACGGTCTCCGGCGATGTAGTAGTCTGCGCAGACGGAATGTGGTCCGCCACCCGCGCCCAATTCCTCGCCCGTCCTTCACCCCCCTCTCTAACAGGCGACCTCGCCTTCCGCATCGCAATCCCCCTCGACTCCCTCAAAGGCCCCCACAAAGCCGAGCTCGAAGCCTTTATACAATCCGAAACCGTACACTTCTGGATCGGGCCCCAAGGCCACGGCGTCTCGTACACCGTCAAGCAGGGCCGCATGCTCAACCTCGGCCTCCTCTCGCCCGATAACCTCCCCGAGGGTTCGACAAAGGTCCTCGGCGACGTGGAGGAGATGCGCGGTCTGTTCTCGAGCTGGGATCCTTTGCTTCGTAAGCTGCTTGACCAGGTGGAGAGCGTTCACAAGTGGAAGCTCTGCTGGATCGAGCCGCTGGACGAGTGGGCGAGCAAGGACGGGAGGTTCTTCATGGCGGGAGACTGTTGTCACCCGATGCTGCCCTACCTCGCACAGGGCGCCAACTCGTCGCTTGAAGATGGCGCCGTGCTTGGTCACCTGCTCGGCAAAGTTCGCGGCCACGCGACGGAGACCGAGACCGGGGAGACAGCGACTTCGAGTTCGGACTCGAGCTCCCAGCTCGCTGCCGCGGCGGCCATGTACCAGCGCCTTCGCATGTCGCGGGGCCAGCGCATCGTCATGGAATCCTTTGCGCAGCGCGACGACTTCCACATGCCCGACGGCCCCGAGCAAGAGCGCCGCGACGAGATCATGACGGCGACGTTGAGGCCCGGGGAGGAGCCGCGGTCGGGGTTCCCTTCGCGATGGACGTGTCCTGATATCCAACGGTTTCTGTACTCGTATGATGCGTACGCGGAAGCAGAGACGGCGTATAAACAGGATCCGTTTTAGGTGTCTTCAGATGGCCATTTTTTTCTTTGGGTGGGGGGGGGGATAAGATGTTGTTATTCGAGCTCTCGTTACGAGAAGCTCTCACGCACGCACTCAGCGTGTGGTTTAGTTTATATTTAGCATATACTTATGGTCTATGAGCTTACTCCCTAGATTGTCCAAAGACCAAATATATCCGGGTATAAGATGCCCAGAACAACCAGAATCTATACTCGTCATCCGAGCTCCCAGGCCGCGTGGTAGCAGCTCCACGCTGTTCTCTTGCGCAGCACTTACTGCGCCCAACTATGCCCCCTGGGCACCCTTGAACGCCGTGAAACCACGAGGCAGACATAATCATAACGATACAATGGTCGAAATTTTCCCTAGTCACCATTATCTATCCCTCCTCCCTCCTCCAAGCCCGACACGCCCACTATGCTGACTCTGCGCGTCGAGACCGTCGAGGTCAACCGAAGACACGCTCGGGGAGCCCAGCCTATCCCCCGTCCAGGTGTCGCTCGCTTTATCTCCTTCGATTACGTACATCTCGCTTTTCGTGTTGCTATCCTGTCTCCGGTTCGGTGGTGCCATAAAGTCCGAGTCAAGTTGCGTCCTTGCTGTCTTCGAGCCGCCTTGCGCAAACGGCCCTGGGTATCCAAGACGAGAATTCGGCCGCGGCATGGGTTCGTGTTTTCCTATTCCGCCAAGCTCCAGATCCGTGTCGATGCCGTCGATACTATCGGTGCCGTACGGGTCGCGGGGCGCTGAACGGTGCGCCGAACGTGCCGTCCCTGATCTCATTCCACCGCTGATGTGTCCGCTGATGTGACCGCTCATGCCCGGCGTTCGGTCGGTCGAAGTGAATCCGCTGACTCGCCAAGCTCGGAGGAGCGGTCGGATGGTTACTAGACTAGAGGCCACGATGGCAACTCCAGGCTCGACTAAGGTCCACACCATGGCGTCGGTTCCCATAACTGCACTCGTGTTAGTAAGGTCCGAGGTTGACTTCTAGCTTTCGAGCCCGGGAAAGGGGGTCTCGAAATGGGACGATCGTACATAAGATATCGGTCAGATCGCTGAGGTCGGCCAAGAACTTGAGTCTAATGAGGGTTGCAATGCTGGCACTGGGTCTTATCAGCTACCATCCTATCGACCCGTCTCTTAGCAGGTACACTTACAAAATTCCCAAACCAAGAATGACGATGACAGTCGCCTTGGCTTGCTTGGTCATCTTAACGCTCCATATCATAGGTATAGGGAGCAGAGCCTAGACACGATTAACATCAAACCAAAAGTGGTCGTAGACGCATGATATAGGCAACTTACGTAGAGCCAATCGCTCAAGATCGTCATGACACTAATGGCGTAGGCCGCGGCCACGACAGCGTCTGGCGATACGCACTTTGAGTTGGGAATGGCATAATCCCATTGAGCTTCGACAGGCGAGCACTGAAATATATTCCAGAAGAATATGACCACACTCCATACAGTGATGACCGCTAGACTAACATAGATGATCCAGTTGTATAGCTTCGAGTTGGAGAGTCGCAGCAGAAAGAAACCAATGCTCAGCTTGATGAACAACATATCGAGCACATATGTGGCGGTAGCCAAGGCTTGGTACTATGCGACTTGGTTAGTGGCATTAGACAGTATAGTCCGCAGTAGAGCCAACAAACCATCAAAGCCGAGACCTCCCTCCGTTGATCAAGGGCTTGGTTGTGGTGGCCGAGGCCATCATTAACGCCGAGGAGGATAAAAGAGCAAGAGATGGTGAATATGATCTAAAATTTATAGTCAGTATAGCCATTGGATGCTCTGCCCAAGTGAAAACTCACCTGGGCGACCAGCATGAGCCAGTCATCGGCTTGGAAGCCTTTGGTCATGAAAGCTCGAACATAACATCTGAGAACGACGGAAAACCAAGAGAGAACAAGGAAAGCGATGGCAGTGGCTACGAGAGCACCACCATTGCTCTCTGATAAATCTACCTCGGCCATAGGGCTGTGGTACCAAGATGCTCTAGGGAGTGACAACGTAGAGAGAGCATGGCCAAACGGGGAAAAGAGAGAGCAAAGGAGCCTGGTAAGATGGTTACATGAGCGGGACAATGGGATATAAGCTGATCAGGGTCGATGTACTCCGTACAGCACTCGACACACCAGGGACCCTAGTCTGAATAGACCAGAACCCAAGGGCTGGATTCCCAACTTCCCGAAGCGCGGATGAAAGAGGGTCGCCGAGTCTGAGACCCCGGAGATGGCAAGGCAGGTCGACATGTGGAGAGAGACCAGGATCTAACTAGGTCAGTTCAAACTTCAAAGCAGCCGCATGGATGATGATGGAATGTGAATTGGAGGCAGTGGACCAGCGAGGGCTGGCCGGACGGAAGTTTTTGCATCCTTCGACTGGTGCGGATTTGTGAAATAAGTCCCATAGTCCCGGACCGGGCTATGCTTGTTCATAAGAAGGAGGAGGAAAGGGGAATGCTCGTAAAGATACACTAGGTAATTAACAGAGACTAAGAAAGGTTACTGGGGGCATATGCCGGACAGTGGACTCGGTCTGGAGAGCATGTTTGAATCTGTGATATATTACACTGCACAATATCTGTGGACTGAGTCCGCAGATGCAATTATTCGACGCCGTCTCACCTCCGAAGGTGATGAGGGTTGCAGTATGCAGAACAGACGCACGTCTATGGAGCCCGGGAGGTGGGAAGCAGGGAGGGTGGTGAGCTCTCCCGGGAGGAAGAAACGAACGAGCCAAGAGTTCTTTGCAGCTGGTCCCGCAGATGGGAGCACCTTTCGCCTTACGCTGCGTGCTCGTCGGTTGCGATGTCTGAAAAGAGAGGGGAGAGAGGGGACAGAAGCCGGTGGGCACGAACAATTGGTATCCTGTGCTGTGCCGCTGCTCCTCTGGGACGGCCGCAGCGGACCACTCCCAACGCCGAGAGCCTACATACTTGTCCGAGATGTTGTTAGTCAGACCATATTTGCAATCAGCCAGGCTCTGACACTGGTCGAGAACATACGGTATCAGCCTGACTTCACGAAACCACTAGGTTCTGAGAAAGGACGCCGCTAGACCTTGGTTGGTGATTGTGTTTGCTCTGTCGCTGAAGCTCGAACTTGTTGCGAATGGTGGCCCCTGTCTTCACGGTGGTCACGATTGAGCTAGAAGGTCGGAACCCAAGCTAGACCAGTGACCATGGACGAAATAAGGAAGTCAGCTCCGCTGAACATGGTACGGAGTAGACGCGTCGTAGTTTGGGCCCGGCGATTTGGAACATCCTTGGACGAGGTTGGTGTGGTTTCATGCGCGCTAGCAGCATCGACACAAAACGTATCCGTAGTGTACAGCTAAGATGAGATTTTGCCAACGAGATAGAAGGCGCACTTGCCACTAGGTGCCACATGGCGTGGTATGAGTTGGAGGAAACTGGCAAGTTGATTGTGTGTAATGTGAAGCGTCGGACATGACAAGCCGAGCTATGCGACCAGCGGAAGTACACTAGGAGGCGGCGAAGCGGCGGCCCCTGGTTGGGCTGCATGTCGTTCTCGGATGCAACATGGGTGGTGTTGGAGAATATTGGAGAGCAGAGAGAAGACGAACGGGAAAAGCAACGACGGATACAACCCAACTTGGCTGACAGGGCGCACTGGCAATGGGAACCCGGCGGGAGAGCTGCAAGAAGACCGAGGACCAGACCGCAGAGGGCACAAAAGACGAACAGGCCCCAAGAATGGCATATTCAGGCACTGTTCCCATCTCATTGCTCGCCCAATCGTGTTCGTCATACAATCGTCCTCCGACCATGAGTGACGACAGCCATATGATCCTGGACTTTCAGTCTTCAGCGGTGCGGGGCAGGGAGGGTACCGGATTGTCAGAAAGCAGCAACAACAAGATGAACATCTGTCCGTGTGTCAAAACACACGGGACAAAGTTTTGAGTTGGCCAGACCAGACCAGATGGAATGATTATAGTGTCGGCCGACGGCGGCAGGCGAAGAAGCACAACTTGTTTGGGCGCGGGCAATATGCCCAAGACGAGAGAACGGGGCTGCAACGGGGTCACTGGGGGTCAACTCCGAACCTTCTGCAGTCTAAAGTGAAGCTGTGGCCCTGGATATGCTCGATCTCCTAGGATTGTGTTGGAGACAGCAAGTTTTACCAAGAGGGACTTCCCAGGTCTGCCGGGTCATGACAAAACAGCGGCGTTCAGCCCTCGGCCAATAGCGCACAAGGTTCATATGTTGTATAGATGAAAATAGGGTCGCGTGGGTTTGACGTCGGGCAGTCCCCAGGTCTGGAGATTGCCCAAAGTGCCAAAGTGAAAAAAGCTTGCCGTCGGTGACAGGTGGAGGACCCGGCTCGGGAGCAGAACAGGGTGCCACGGTGCCTGCTAGTTTATTAGGCTCTTTGCACTTTTGAAGTTTGATGGCCGGGCCGCGAGAGAAAGGTGGGCATTTTGTGTGTACTCCGTAGATTGTATACCTTAGTTTATTCATGGAGTGGTTGAGTGGATTGCGAGGGGCTCCTGAGTGGAGTGTCAGAAGATGGCGTTCCTCGGCATCGACGATGAAATGTGACTAGAAAAAGGCGCTTGTTCTTGGCACATGTTATTCGGGACTGGCACAAACCAACCGTTTGCTGGCGTGTCTGGCTATGCACGTTGAAGTTGGATAAAAAAGTAATCAGGAACGGATACACTACTGTGTAGAGTGTAGATTTGTGAAGGAGGCGTCGCCAGTCAGGCACAGACATTGCTTTAGAAGCAGAGCCAGAAGGAGAAGGAGGAGGAGGAGGAGGAGGAGGAGGAGAAGAGGCAATAACGGCACCGGTCTTTCTCCATTCCCCTTCTCTTGGGTTCTTCTTTCCTCCTGTCTGTGCCCTCGGCCCCCGTGGCTTGCAGACTGTCTTTCTGTTCCTGCTCCCATCCTTCTCCTTCTTCTCCCTCTCTGCCGCTCTTCCCCGTCCCGCGCATTCGCACCTGCTTGCTGCACCCTCGGCCGA